CTTAGTGGATACTTGACAACGTTGAGGATCGAGCCATTCCCGATTGCACAGACACACTCGCTTGGCCGCCAAGAGCGAAAACAAGGGTTGAGTGTTGCCTGCAAGGGAACTGCGAGTTCAACATCGGCAAGAATTATCAACTACTACAACACGCTCGGTGAGGTGAGCATATAGCGTATCATCGATACCAAACCCTCACGCAGAAGTACTAGTAGTACTAGTAGTACTAGTAGTGCCAGTAGTACTAGTAGTACTAGTAGTACTAGTAGTACTAGTAGTACTAGTGGTACTAGTGGTACTAGTAGTACTACTACTAGTAGTACTAGTAGTACTAGTAGTACTAGCAGTACCAGTGGTACTAGTAGTACTATACTAGTACTAGTAGTACTAGTAGTACTAGTAGTACTACTAGTACCACTTGTACTACAAGTAAGTACTGCTGGTAGTATTTGGTATTGTGAGTCTTATTCGTATTACCCGTGCTACTAGTACTACTAGTACCACTAGTGCTGCTCGTACTACTAGTAGCACTAGTTGTACGGGCAGTCGTTTTATTCGACAGTGCGTAATCCCAACATGTGCACGCACCTCTGGGTACATAGCGGTTGCAGTGCGTCATAGTTGTAAACTGACTTCTTGCACGATGTTTTTGTGCTCTTTTAAGCTGCCCCTTGCAACCTGCAACCTGCGTTGCAGCAGATTCGATGCAGTGTTTGTTGGCCCAAAGCGTGCCGATGCAATGACAGCTCCACGAAAAGAGTCAGCAGCACATGTCATGATTAACAAATTCCACCAATCGCTTGGTCTTGCAAGTTTCTTGTTGCCTTGCAAACCCATAGTGTTACACATTCCACACTGACTTACGGATTGGTGTGCAGCGGTCTAGGCTCTCTAGACCACAGAGCCGGGAACGTCAAGGCGTTTTTAAGCACGTGGACACCGAATCTGACTTAATCGCCATTGGCTTTGTTGTCATGTTTCATCTACATGTTTATTTGTTTTCATTTGTCATATTTTGGCTTTGGTGTCTTCATCATTCCCCATTTGTTTTGATGACATTTACATTAGCATCTATTTATTTTGTTGTTGTTTTGTTGAATCCTTATCCTGTTGCTTGTGTGCGATTTCGTGCTCTTGGTGCCCGTCCTAGTCACGTTGACGAAGCAGATTGCGCAAGTTTGATGCCAGATGATGCAAAAAAGGAATGGGTTATCTGTCACGAGTTTCTGAGATTCAGGCTTAGATTGGCACCGTTTTCCGTCTTGCTTCATTGTAAATTCCGAGGCACTGGCTTCATTTTGTCCCTTGATCGGGTGCTCGAAACGTCTACAAATCCTTTCTCGGGCTGGTCCTTGTGGTCTTGTAAACTGCGCCTCACAACGCGGGCAACGATTTGTGCTATGGTGCCATCACTACGCACGAAGTGCTTACAGCCTTAGCGGGGCCACGCTATGAGGTTGTGCATGCTTAACCCGTCCAGTATTCAAGAGCAACAATTTTGAGGTGTCTCCCGTGCTGCCTCCAGCTTCGTGGTTGTCTCGGTCGCCGCGATCTCGTGGTCTTGGTGATGCGTGTCGTCTTGGTCACGGTTGTATTGGTGATCGTGGTCGTCGAGGTGTGGTATCTTTCGGTTGTGCATGCTGCGGGGTCTTGAACTGTGTGCGGACTCACTTGGTTTGTACTAGTCTTGCGCAAGTATAACTTTGTTTTCGTTGGGCAGTGTTCAGTCATGGTCTTCCGCATTAACCCTCGATCCCAAGTACGCGTCGCAAGAACCGTATGTTGGTCATGCCCGAGATGTGTCGGACTAGGGTTCCATTATTTTTTTGTTCGTCCTGTTGCATTCACTTCTTCAGGACGTAGTTCATACCTTTCACATCAACTGAACTGTTTGACCGTGTTTTTCAGGTTGCTAGAGTCCTTTAGAGGATCTGTTACGATGTAGCTTAAGATATTTCCGTTATCATGTCTAAACAGAATCTCTGTTAGACGTTTTCCGTTTTACGCTTATCACAGCAAATCAAGGCACTATGTGTTGTTGCTGGTGTTGATTTGGCATATTTGTGTGTTCAATTGCCTGAATTTTGTTTTCTCTTGTCTTTTTGTGTAAATTTGTCTGCATTTGTCTTAGCCTGTCTTAGATAAAGCGCCGTGGTCGACATAAGCCTTGATGTTACATGCCCTGTGGTTTGAGGCCCTCGCAACAGGCTATGATTATTGAGACACCATTTTCCTGATCCGTTGTCGGAAACTTTGCTTTACTGCCCATGGTAGTATCTGTCATCATTTCTGCCCTGTAGAGCGGTTTTGCAGGCAACATGGCAGCAGAGAGGCACAGGAGTGGAATGAATAAGGTGACCAAGATATCTGAGAGACAGACGACGAGCATGCAGAAAGACGGACAACGGACTGACACGGAGACAGACGCAGAGGCACATGGGGAGAGAGATGCAGTGACAAAGCCATGAAGGAAAGAGCTTCGGGTTAAATTCTGTTAAGCCTGGCGAGTGTAAACAGAGCTTCCTGTGCACCTAGTATTGTTCTATTGATGCAAACGGTTGCCCTTCAGAAAGTCCCGAATCCAGTGACGCTTGGCCCAACACCACTAAAGCCCGCCAGGGTGCAACCAACAATCACACAGTTATGGGCCTGCCAGAATGAAACACAGCTACTCGCACCAACGCCCTGAGCATTGCCCGGTGTCCAGGGTGGGACCAATTCCTTTGGAGTTCCGGCTCTGCAGCGCTTGCGGGATTCCAGTTTATGTGCAGCCATTGCTCGTTGTGATTCCGATTCCAGGGCTTTAGCAGTCCTTGGTCCAGGGCTTCCGATCTCTGATGTAATTGCATGCATGAAGTGGCCAGTCATCCGTACTTAAGGAAATGCAGGCTGATATGGTTCCTAACAGTGTGGAAGAAAGTGCCACCGCTTCGCATGACAGCTTTGTTGCTCTCTGCTTCCGGTTTGTGTCGCTTCTTTTGGTGCTTCATGGACTTTGCAAATGAAGGAGTTGGTATCGGGACTATGCACGCGAGTCATGCAAGTCATCGTACGGTCTAGCCCTGAGAGGTACACGTTTTTCTGGTGGGCTTCTTTGTGTGGCGGCTCTCTGACGAAGAGGACGGCTTGAGTTCACCGCAAGCAAAACCCGGAGCTCTCGGAAGTCGATTCGACACCTCAAATCAGATTCAAGACGCCGGTAGCCTCTGCTGTTTCCAAAGCGGCAAAGAGGCGGCAGCCAAGCGAAGTCAGGGTCTGCCGAACTACAAGAAGGCTCGGTGTGGCACAATGGGTAGGCCGGTGAGGACATCGGGGCTTTGGAGGGGTGGTCAAGAAAGCTGTATGTATGTATGTATGTATGTATGTATGTATGTATGTATGTATGTATGTATGTATGTATGTAGTTATGTAATGTAAGTAATGTATGTAACGCTTGTAATGTATTCAATGTATGTATTCTATGAAATGTCTTTCATGTATGCAATGTATGTAATGTTTGCAATGCTATGTGTGTAATGCTATGCATGTAATGTCGTGTATGTATGTATGTATGTATGTATGTATGTATGTAGGTATGTATGTATGTATGTATGTAATTATGTAATGTAAGTAATGCATGTAACGTTTGTAATGTATGCAATGTATGTATTCTATGAAATGTTTTTCATGTATGCAATGTATGTAATGTTTGTAATGCTATGTGTGTAATGCTATGCATGTAATGTCGTGTATGTGTGTATGTATGTATGTCTGTCTGTCTGTCTGTCTGTCTGTATGTATGTATGTATGTATGTATGTATGTATGTATGGTAATGTAATGTATTGTATTGTAATGTATTGTAATTTGCTGTATGTATTGTAATGCAATGTAATGTAATGTCATGCAATGTAATGGTAACATAATGTAGCGTAACGAAATAACATAACGTAACGTAACGCAATGTAAAGTAAAGTAAAGTAATGTAATGTAAAGTAATGTAATGTAATGTAATGTAATGTAATGTATTGTAATGTAATGTAATGTAATGTAATGTAATGTAATTTTTGTATATCTATATGCATGCACACATACATGCATGCATGCATGCATGCATGCATGCATGCATGAATGTATGTATGTATGTATGTATGTACGTACGTATGTATGTATGTATGTATGTATGTATGTATATACCCATCTACACACTTGCAGGAAAACAAGAGTGTATATACGCATATATACATCTATATATATATATATATATATATGTATATGTATCTATGTACGTAAATATACATATACATATATAACACACATCTATCTGTATATATGTTCACATTTTTGTTCATATATATATATATATAATTATGTATATACATGTGTATAAATATATGCTCACGTAGGCAGGTTTCTTTCTGGGTCAGAAAGGGGTGTGGTGGCTGCGGAGTGGCAGGGCGTCTCGAGGTGTAGGGCTTAGCCTCGGGTCCAGCGTCGAGATTTCGCAATGCTTAGGCTCAGGCTTGAGACTTGGTTGTTGGGCTTTCCGGCAGCTTGGAGTTTAGCCTCGTGTTTGGCTTACATCGATTGAGGCTTCGAGGCTGCGGGGTCAATGTGTTGTGGAACCGAACCACTGAGGGTCAAAGTGTGGCATTTCAAACACCGCACCCTTAAACGCAAATTGAGTGGTGCAATGCGGTTCCTCCAGGCGGCAGAAATCGCGTTGACGCCGGCACCTAAGCTTCTGATAGACAGAGTTCGGGCATTTGCTGCACATGTTTCAGGTGCAGCATCAGCTTCATCGTACTTTTCCTGACGGTCCGGTCCTTGGTACTTCAACACATGCTCAAGGCTGTCTGTTACTCCAGCGCTGCTGGCTGGGCTGGACAGCACTGTGCAAATGCCGTTTCTCTTGTGCAGATCTTCGAGTTCATGCTGTTTAACCTGACCAGCTGAAGCAGGTCCTCATCCACGAGCTGGGCCACTGTGCAGGACTGCACCCAAAGTCATTGGCCACCAACACCTGACCGCGGGCTAGTACACCGTTCTTAAACCCTTTTTCAGGACCTAGAGCCGCGCTAGACGCCGCTAGACCGCTCAACCTCCCGAAACCTGAAAGTGATCGGAAGTGCTTCCAGGAGCCAAGCTGGTCGGAGGTCGGGTCTCCCGCATCCTGCTGCAAGCTCAGTCTCCGGCAATCTCCACAGGCAAGGCAAGGAAGGTCGGCTAAGAGGTCTGTGTAGAGCCTGGCCGAGCGCTCCAATGCTGCTTGACACATGCCTTGACTCGAGGCTCTGGCCGCTAGGTGGCTTGGCCTTCTGCAGCAGCGGCGGGGGTGCAAAAGGCGACCTCTTGGTGGCCTTGGCTGGACTGGCAGCTTCGCGGTCGGAATTCGCCCGTACCGACAGTTCGACACCGTGGTGCATCGCCTCATCCTAGAATCTCTTGGCCGGTTGAGCCCTGGCTGCTCCGGAGTGGCGTTGCCAAAGCTTTCACCACCACCAGCACCGGATGTGCCACCCTGTTTCGATGATGTTGGTCAATGTTGGTCTGCTTGCGGGAGAGTCTGTCCTGAGAGCGATGTGGCACTTGCAACATGTCATGTCCCAATTAGGCTTCGTCGTCTCCAGCCATCTCTGGCATCCTTGTTATCAGCCAGTACACATACAGAGTTAATTTCGTGACTCCCCAAACCTCGCTCGAACTCGAACCACCGTGCACATGCACCAGAGCAGGTGGATCCATTGGTGGAGGTGCAAGTGCCCATCTCTGCTTTGCGACGTAAGCCGACAGAAACAAGCCAAGAACAGCAACAACGATCCCACATGGAAAATGAGCAACCTGATTTCGACAATTTGTAACCAGTCAGACTGCCATTTTCAGAAAGGACCAAGGTCTTATTATCTCGCCCTTTCACCATATCGTTATCTCGTCATGTCTCCCTCTCATCATGGTGATCATGATCAGCAGCACCACGGTCGAAATTGACCTTCTTTCGCAGGAGCATGAACCAAAGCACGAACGAAAAACAGACAAGACACAGATGCAGGGTTTGCGGTGAAGGACCCCTCACACACGCGCCGCAGTATCTCGCCTGGCTTAGCCTGTACAGGCTGGCTGCCAGGGCCTCGCAGTCTCATCGTTCTGAATTGGTCTGTGCTATCTTTTCGAACCTCTTAGACCTCGTGAGTGTTGGGGAGCGTTTTTGTCAAGTCTGAGAGAGGCTAGTTGCAGTAGGTCTGTGCTTTCGGGGCATTTGACAAACATCCAAGTTTCAGCGACATCGGGTCACAGTTCGCAGCTTGTGTGCAATCTGGACGGCACCGTTCATAAGAGAGGTTTGACCGACTAGTCAGTAGCTCTGTCCCGCAAAGTGTGTTTTCTATATCACATCACTTCTTATTGAAGCCAGTCCTTTTGCATTTGTGTCTTGTTGGAGCTTTCTGTGCAAGGGAGCCTTTTAGAGTTTTATGCGTGTCTTCCGACAGGGGACGCTAACATACTAGTATTGCTTTTGTCATTGCACAGTCTTGGTCCTGGAGTACTTTGGTCTTATTTGGCTACCATGGCTACTGCCATAGTCTGCTCCGGCTGTGCAATGGTTCGCCAATCAATTGCATCGTAACTCTCTGGTCTGTGTGCTTAGCGTTGCTTTGGCATGTCCTGACAGATTTTCGTGCTGCTTCTTCAACGGTCACTGTTGCTATCGTTGTCGTTTTCGACCATGTCCTTATTCTCATCCCCATCGCCGATTTCGCCACCATGACCGTCAACCTCACACGCCTTCACCCTCGCTTCAATCTGCACCTGCAACCTTAGGCCTTGACCCTCATCATCGCCGTCGTCACCGCGATCAACAGCATCATCGTCGTCGTCGTCCACCATCATCATCATCATCAACATCATCAACATCAACATCAACATCATCGTCGTCGTCGATATTCGTTTCGTTTATTTGCATCTCCAACTTTGAGGTTCACTCGCAGGAAGAGCTTGGCAGCTGGGCGCCGACAGTGCGAGGTACGAGACCCAGGCTTCGGACCTCAATGCCCGGGTTCGCTGCCTGCAGGATCTTGTGGGTTTTAGGTGTTTGGATGAAGTTTTTTCAGATGTGACAGGTGTCTGCCATGGTGCCATGCACCTCCAGATTATCCTCGTCGTGTTTAACCTTCTGGTGGGGGCCGTCAGTTTATCTTTCTGGTTCTGGTCATTCTGGTCCAGCGGCCAGCGAGAGCCATGGTGTGAAAGTTTAGTCGGAGTGTTTGCTCGGAGCTGTGTCTGGGCTTATCGGTTTGTAAGCTATCGGGTCTGACATCCGGGGTCGGCCACACCGGTGAAGATTTCAGCAGCATCAGGCAGGCGGACGCTGGATCCCACCTCTCGGACCTCCTAGCTGAGAGTCGTTATCGTGTTAGTTCCCTGGCGGCAGCCTCTTTGAAACGGCTGTGTACGTGATGATGTGACGATGCCCACTTTGGCCTATCGCCAATAAAGGATCCAAGCATAGTGCCTGCAGCGTGCCGGGCGGCTGGCATGCCCCAGAACATGCTTCAGCATTGACACTTCGATCCAAGCATACGTAGGATGAATGCCCTGCATCACCCTCAAATCCGAACTGTCAGAAGAGCAGAGTAACTAAGTGTGTGATGGTCTGCGTGCAGGGCAACACGTTATAGAAATTGCTTGTGAGCTGAACTTCGCAAATGTGCACCCTACACGTGCCCCCGCACTCGCCTTGTTTCACCGCACATGGGTTGGTGGGACCTGGCCAACGTTTTCGACAAGTTCCTCACTGCTTGAACCCATCTTTCAACCTGCAGTCCCCCATGTGCATCCGGGTATACATGCTGAATCTCAATTTCCAATTTCTTCAACTTCCGGATTCCTTGCACCTTTCTCCTCAATGATATCATTGTTGGTTCAGTGTCAGTTCTCAGGATCACTTTCCGGTTCAGCAACATTAGTACTCGACAAACTTCCTCAACAAGAGGTTATGTCGGTACCCCAGCAAACAAGGGTTGGTACCAGGTGCATGGGGCGATCACTCGGTACGATGAGAGTGCACCGATTGAGTCCTGCTTGTGACAGCCTGTGTATTTTGCTTGTTTCAGGGCCCGACTCACCGACAGGTGGTTTCCGTCATTGTCCACCTCACGTGTATTTCAGACTTCCCACCCCTCTTTCTGAGTCACAAAGGGGGGTTGGTGGATCGCTGAAGCCAAAGCTTCCGTCCTGCCTGTTGTAGTTAGTTGCGGCTCCGGAAGTTGAAACTGTTCAAGCCGCAGGGCTGTTGCTGCGATTCGCGAGCCTTTAACCTCAGCACACAAATACCAAAGTTTCATGCTACAGAGTTGAGCTTAGCAAGAAAGGTGTTGGTTGAAGTTGTGTCCCGCCAGGTGCCCGTCTATCCACTCGACGGCTCGCAGGCGCAGAGCGACCAGCACCAATCTGCCACACGAAACCCCAAAACTAATGCACCCTGCAATAAAAACATATTAAACGGATCCCGGCCCGAATGCTATGTTTCAACCTGGCATACAGCTGTACATCCATTCTAATATAGACGTCGATGCTCGTTCAGGGGTTTCTCGGTCTTTCGGCTGTTCAGCTTGATGTGTGACGGCACAGTTTGTCTCTTTAGCTCTAGCACGTGCCTGTCTGCTGCAGCAAGCACCAGTGTTTCCTTCACTATTCTTCTTGCAGTTGCTGCTGCTTTGCTTTTACCTGTTCTTTTTTTGTCTTCCTTCTTGATACCTTTTCGGCATTAATCGGCTCTAAATCATCGGTATTCGTTTTGTGAAGTGCAGCTGCTGCTGCTGCTGTTGTTGGTGGTGCTGGTGGTGGTGGTGGTGGTGGTGGTTGGTGATTGGTGGTTGGTGGTTGGTCGTTGGTCGTTGGTCGTTGGTAGTTTGCTGGTTTTGGTTGTCGTGGTTGGTTGGCTGGCCGGCCGGCTGGCTGGCTGGTTGGTGATTGTTTGTTTAGTTGGGTTTTTTCGTGGTTGGTTGGTCGGTCGGTCGGTTGGCTGGCTGGCTGCCTGGTTGGTTGGTCGGTGGTTGTTGTGGTTGTTTTGTAACGGCGGTGGTTGTTGTGATGGTCATGTTGCTCTTGTTGCTTCCTTGTGCTTATGGTGTTGGTCTTTTCTGATGCATGATTCTGTGTTGAGTTCTCTATCTATGGGATCTATGGTATTCTTCTTACTGCCGCCTTTGCTATCATGGTCAGTGGTTGCATTAGTCATGTACGCAGCAGGTGATCATCTCACTTTGCCGTCTTTGCGGCGCCTCCCAGCGCAGTGCTGGCTACTTCATGGTGGCGCTGTCATTGCTTTGCATGGCCTTCGGCTGAGCTGCGGAAGCTCCTCGGGACCCAGCAGACACCCTAAGACATTCCAAGGCAGTGCTCCTGGCCTCCATGATGGGAGCTCTTCACCTACCGGTCCTCGTGTTTGGTCCAATCCTGAGCTAACAATCATCAGTTGACTCGCTTGCTAAGACTACTAGGTCGACGACTACGGCTAGTGATACTAGTAATGCCAGTAGCAGCAGTAGCAGCAGTAGCAGCAGTAGCAGTAACAGTAGCAGTAGCAGTCGTAGTGACCCCAGTAGCGGTAGTTGCACTAGCAGAGTAGCACCAGCAGCTGCAGGAGTAGCCGCCGCAGTAGTTGCAGTGGGTTTGGCAGTAGTAGCAGCACTGGCTTCAGCAGTAGCAGTAGCGGTCGCAGTCGCAGTCGCAGCCGCAGCCGCAGCCGCAGCCGCAGCCGCAGCCGCAGCCGCAGTCGCAGTCGCAGTCGCAGTCGCAGTCGCAGTCGCAGTCGCAGTCGTAGTAGTAGTAGTAGTAGTAGTAGTAGTAGTA